CGGCCTAGAGGTGACTCGGAAGCTGGGAATGGCCCTAAGAGAGCTCGAGGTGGTGGCGGTCCTGGTGCGTAGGGTTCTAGCGAAATCCTCCCTATGCGTAGGCTTATGAGCTATGCTATAAATTCATTGTACATTAGTGCGTGTATGGCTATGCAAGGAAAACTTATCTATCGCTTTGGGGCGGAAGAAACGGAGAATAGGTGAGCACACCCCTGTGCGTAGGCGCTGCGTCTCATCGGGTCCAATGGTGTTCAGGTCACAAATAATAACTCATCGTATCTTTTTTGTTAAATAAGTGCATTTCCACGGCTGCGAATGTGTAATTTATTTTTTTATATGCTCTAACTGTCAACCTCGGTCCCAGTATATGTACAGATGATATACGATGTCGGACATAGCCAACAATTTTATGGACTGGTACTCATAACCAGCTACCTCAATACTTACAAGTATCTCATTATAGTAATCTAGATCGGACATATGTGATCAAACCGGAGATCAAGGCAACATAATTTGACGGTCAGGCTAGGCTCGAAGCGCTATCATCACTTGCTCTTACATCCCCGTCTCCACATATCAATGCTCTAAGCTATTAATAAAACTGCCCTCTCATCTGCCTACACTACATTTCCTTTGGCGTCGGTGACTGGCATCCCACCGGGCAATTCCGATAGCCCTATATGATGAAGAGTTCTGTTAGCTTTGTTCAACTAGAGCTGAGATGTCGTAAGTGGGATGCGAGAGAGAAGGGGGGAGAGATAAATAAAAAACCAGGGAAAAGAAATAAACCAAAGACAAGGGAAGTTAAGCAACATGGTAAATAAATGCGTACACCCATCCAAATTCTCGTCTACAGACGGCTTCTTCGTGCACGCGTTCCCGTTCTTGATAGCTTGATACCCGAGTCCGTTACACCGGTCACCATTGCAGTTTGTATCCATGGCGGTCTATTTGTAACGTGGGGGTTAGTAATGTCTCCTTCTGGGAAGAATAATCTAGGACTCGAGGGCTTGCGGGAGGCGATCCGCGTCTCGGAGACATGATGAGGGGGAAATGGAAGATTCCATAACTAACCTGCAGTGCGTTGCCTTTCCACCCGAATACATAATCCCCGTGGTTTCCTAGGCCTGTTGCAGCAATTAAATGAGCGTTATAGTCCGCGAGTATGTGTAGAGGGAGAGGGGGACTCAGACGACGTAATCGGCGTGCATTGAGGTTTGAGTGCGAGTGTCTTGGATGGTAGGAGGTACCTACCTGTTTTATCGCCGTAGCTCCAGATGAAAGGCTGCGAACCGTCCGCCGGCCAGTCTGCTGGGTTGTTGAAGGGAGTCGTGTCCCAGACAATCTCGTAGAACAATTGCGGGATCGGAACCGGGTGAGTCGCGGGGCACGGTGCCCCGTTCTCGAAGGTGCCGCCCTGCGGATACGATACATGGCTGCTGTGGTCGGCGCTGTCGAGGTTCACGCCGTCCCAGCATCTGGGTATAGTTAGCTAGGTCATGGATGGGAGAGTGAGGAGGAGAAAGGGCATCCTACGTTGGGAAACGCAGGTTCGCCATGATACCCGCCTTGCATGGCTTTGTGGGCATGTCGAGCGTTTCGCCTGTTCGCGTCATGGGGTCCTGGAGGCAAGTGCTGGGAGAGTTGGTGTTAGGAGTCGTGTATAGACAAGATATCTGTATTCTCAAGATTCCGTAGCAGATCCACAGGAGACGTACTAGGTGAGCTGTCGATACTTGGCTGCCTCTTCTTTCGTGCGAATCGTCGGGTCGCCGGTAATCATTCGGAATCCCTTTCATGCGTACCTCAGCATCTTATAGACGGGTTCTCTGCTATCCGAACTTACCGGCTTGAACGCAGTCACCTTTTTGCTCTGGTAGCTTGGGATGTAGTAGATCGTCATGCCGCCGTGAGACTCCTCGAAGTATACATTGCCCTTCTGCGGAACCCGGCGATATGTGCCGTTACGAGCGCGGAAGAACAAGACAGCGGTCCAGTAGTTACTAAAGTCATCGGCGAACGTACAGGTCGTGCACGTCGCGGCGTCGGGAATGCTCAGGGTCTTGGGATCCATGGTCGCGTTGAAGGTGTTCTAGTATTGACATGTTAATTTAGCTTACTTTATATCGAAGATGACTGTTGCAGATGGAGCTACGAGAGATGAATCACTGACGCCGCCGATAATTTGGTGTAGGTGCGGAGATCCGACTACCCCTGGGTTCACCAGGGGATCGAGGCGCTCTGTGACGAGTTGCGAACATGAGAATCGGAGCAGCGCGGATGCCGGCGTGAACAGCCAGACGAGCGCGAGCCCGTGATGCCAGTTTTGAAGCATTTTCAACCCTCTCTTATGGCTATAGTGATAGTAGCCTGTCTCAACGAAGGAGCAGTTGTTGATTGTCTAAGATATCCAGAACTTTTCGATGCTCCAAACGGATCTATATGTACCGTTTGCCTGTAAGATAGTAGAGGGCGTGACCTCCATCACCACCTTCCCGGCTGAATTGAGTAAGGGATATAGACCAATCATCCTGAACACTCTCATGAACTTCATTTATTCTTCGTGTTTAATCCCCCCTATAGGCGATAAGAAGACTCGGTATCGAAGCAAGCCGCACCAATTGATTCACGGTATTGATTCTATTGAGGCATTGGAGTGGCTGGCTCTTGTACACACTGAAGTCAGATTGCCGGTGCATCACGAAACCATACTACATAATGTTGCAGAGGAAATTGAAATAGTCTACCTGAGAGCGAGTTACCGATTAGAAAGATATTAAAGTAGACATAACTGCACACCATGAATGTCACCATCGTCCTGGAATACTTGCTTCTCCGTGAATGCCGCGACCACACATTTCTACTCCCATGCACTCCAAAAGTAGGACCAATGACCAACTAAAGTAACAATTGCAACAGACGAGTCAAGTAAACATAGCCTCTCGCTCCCGCCGCACCGCCGTTCTCGGCCGTCGCAGCTCTTCAACCTCAACCTCGGCGCGTATCCGGCCCTCCCGCTGCTCATCGGCCCTGCGTCCCTGATGCACGTTCTGCACATGCATCTTATCGATGTCCTCACGAAGCTTGTTCCGATCATGGACCAGCGTCTTGATCTTGTCCCCCCAGATATCCAACTCCCTCTCCGCCATAAGGGCCCGCTTCTTCTGGCACATAGTACGTTCCATCAGCTGCAGGTTGGCCGTCGTCAGCCGCGCGTTCTTCTGCCGGAGCCGGTCGAGGTCCTGCTTGATGGCGAGGCTCTTCCGGGAGTCGGCGCTGTTGTCGGCGCGAGCAAGCCGCAGCTCGTCGCGGAGCGAGAGGATCGCGGCGCGCTGCTGGTTCGCCTGGTCCTCGGCCACGCGCAGGAAGTGCCCGCGCCGCGCGAGCTCCGTGTTGGCTGCGTCGAGATCGCGCTCGAGCTCCACCTTCTGCTCGTGCATCACGCTGCGCATGCACGCGTCGAAGTCGTTTTTGTTCTGTCTTCCCTGCAGCTCGGCGACTTGGTCCCAAAGTCGTGCACAGTTGCCGCAGCCCGCTGTCTGCGTCGTGCCGTCCTGGGGCTGCTTTTTCAAGTGCTTGTTGAGGAGGCGGATCAAGGGCGGGATGATGTCTCTGGTGAATTTGAAGATGCACTGGCTCACGGCTTGGGAATATGGGATTGGCACGGAATTGCACCAGCATATGAAATTCAAGGTGATGATATCGCCAGGTAGCTGGACCAGCCAGGCTAGGAATATCCAAAACATATTGTAATTGGACTTCGAGATTGTCTTTCGTTCGGTTAGGATGGACGGAGGTTGACGTTGTAATGAAGAGTGGCTAGTGAGTGGCCCATGCCCAGAACTTACAGAATATCAGTAAGGATATAAACAATTTAATCTGTAAATGTATCACGTACTTACAAGCGCCATTGGCATGATATCCCTACTTCAAAGATGCTGTGAAGCATCTCAATGGCCATTTCAGCTTGTGAGGATGCTTTATCAACCTGAACCCTTCCCGCCACCCGCTCCAAGACAGGAGATGGTGTAAATGTTGAAACATTTCATTGCCTGAAAATTAAATCAAAGGGACAAAGAGGGCTTAAAACTTTCAATCTTATGGGATATTCCATTTATGCAGCGTCATATCAATAATTAGGACATAGTAGCCTTATTGTTAATAGTGGTGAAGGATGTCCATGCATGAGCATGTAGGAGTATTGAAGGGAAAAGTTTCACCTGCATTTCAGTTGGTCACACATGAGCTTAGGTAGAGAAATGCACTTGTCCAGCCATTGCTTAAATTCTGAAATGGAAGAGTGAATTGGATAGAGTCCCCCTTGTAGAGCAAGGAGAGCATCGTGCCCTTGTATAGACACGTAGGTCAAGCTATACACTTTTCTACACAGGAATAGACACTGAATAGAATAGGGGTTGGTAAAGGCTGAAGAGAAGAAAATAAAGATATAATTAAAGAAGTCAGATGACAACACGAAAGATTGGGACGGGGAGGGGGGTAGCACCTATTATTGCATAGGCAGTGTGCGGAAGGAAGAGCTTCGGCCCCGTCCTGGTTCATCACGATGAGTATTCTGCAGGAAAAACAAGTCCCGTATACAATATCTTATTGTCCCGGCTAACGCGACACCTAATATTCCTTAGATTTTATTATATCACAGGGCTTCTATTGTGCACACCATTGTTGTTGAACTTTAAGGGCAGGGTTAATTTCTTGCTACAACGTCTTATTAGAATTGAATATAGGGCTATCCAATTTTTCTAGTTGTCCAGCTATAAAAGGCTGGCAATAAGATAAGGTGCGATAATAACTATTAAAAAAACATTGTTAGTGTTACTTGGGTAGGTAGTGTTATGGTTGGGAGTAGTCTTGATGTTGGAGAATGCAATGGAGTACTCCGTACATACCTGTAATTGACATGAAGGCGCCCGTGCGAGTACCCTCTCACGTGCTTGAGACTTAAGGATGAATTACGAAGTGAGTTTAATAATCAATAACTGACCCTACTGGCCTAATGGTTAAGGCGTAAGACTTCTAATCTTAAGATTAGCGGTTCGAGTCCGCTGTGGGGTTTACTATTTTTAAAGTTTGCTTTTTGTTTTTTTCCCTTGCTAAAACAGAGAGACTGGCCAGTTACTCAAATTAATCACAAGTAGTCCGACATAGCCCTCACACTCTCGACCTTCTTTGATTTTGTAAACTTTTGATGAGATTTAGATATGGACTGATTGGGAACACGGTTTCGCATACTCTACTGTAGACTGAAGGATGACTTTCACCAGAACCCACTTGCTTGTGGACCCGGCCTCCCGAAGGCTGGATGGAACTGAACCTTGGGAGAATCAAAGGTATACAGATGCGTGGAACGAGGTAGGCAGACCTCGTGGAGTGTGGAGAGATTGCACTACGCTTTATACATCACATAGTAATGTTTAGTAGAAAGGGGTCCAGTACATGGTAAAGGGTAGGAAGGTGAGTACGAGGATGGTCATCTTTCGGTTTTTCCAAATATGGTCAAGTGGAGCAGGATTCGGGTTGCATCGGCCATTGTGTTTCGACCTCCCTATGAAATTGACTCATACGTAACGGCATGCTTCTGATCTATCGCACAATGTATTAAGCTTTAGAAGTAATGATGAATATCGAAAGTAGCTTGATTGTTACCAAAACCGTTAAATCATGCTAGCAGGGACAGCAAACGTCGGCCGGGTCCTGAGAACCAGGTAAGCAAACCACCCAGATCTATACATCTCGGGCGCCCTTTAACATCGCGAAGACTTAAGTGTCAGTCAACGTTACCTGCATTTCGAACGGGATCCTCAAAAACGCCGATGACTGCGCCCAACACGGAGGCCTCTGGGCCAGCTGAGAATCCAATTGTGCCGAAAGTTCATAACTTCAAAGAAACGGAGGCTAAGAGACCGAATTTCGACCACAGCAATACCCCTATTCCAGTGACCAAGTCCCCGAACCCGAACTGGAAGTACGGGGATGGCGTAGCAATCAACGCGCCAGCTAAAACTCTCACGCATGAGGAGATTGACCCATATGCTCCGGGTCGACCTATGATCCACAACTACCGTCTCCTGGTTTCGGGAATCGCACCTCGCCCTGTAGGATTCGTGAGTACTGTCTCTGCGGATGGCAAGACTGAGAATCTGGCGCCATTCAGCTACTTCCAGGTCGTGGACCACGACCCGCCCATGTTCATCGTCAGCTTCTCCTCGCGACCGGGAAGAATGAAGGACACGTACCAGAACCTCAAAGACACTGGCGAGTGCGTTATCAACACGGTCTCCGAGAACATGATCGAGGCAGTGAATGCCACTTCAATTGACGCACCGAGGCATATCTCCGAATGGGATCTGTCGGGGCTACACAAGGCGCCAACCTCGACAGTGCAGCCAAAGCGGGTGCGGGAATCCGTGTTTTCTATTGAAGGAAAAGTAGTGGACATCAAGGAGTTCAAGTCCCATGCGACGGAAGGCAAGAGTCTTGCTGGTATGGTACTCATCAAAGCTACAAGGTTCTGGGTCCGCCAAGATGCCGCCAATGAAGACTTTAGCCACATCAACCTCGATAAGCTTCGGCCGGTGGGACAACTTGGGGGGATGGCGTATGGCCGGATTGGCTCGACCTTTGATCTACCTCGCCCACGATGGGATGATGAGCAACCTAAGAGTGAATTGCTAACCAGACTATCAACTCAGACTCACGATCGTAAAAGCATAGACAATGAAGAATAGAACGTGTTACGATCACCTAGAAGAAGGAACATGCATGCATATAGTTAGAGCAGCTCAACGGAGGGGGTTTAGAGCTTTTCTGGCAACAATAAGAGTCTATTACCTGCCCTACGTACCGGGTTCCTGTTGCAGACTACTGTACATCAGGCGAACGCTGTCTCTGATACCATTCCAACGCGCTCTTTCCGTCAACGTTACTTATTCTCCTAGTGTAACCTCATTCTACTATACCGCAAGACAAAGCCACGTGTACAGCTAAAGACGACGTCCTGGACTATCCAGTACCGTTAACCTGGAAGCTGCGGGTGTACTGTTTCTGGAAATATAATCCGTGGTTTAAGTCATACAGGATACCAAAAAAATAGTAGTAGCTCAGGTCGCGTCCGGGAGCCGCTTTCACCGTCCAGTTATACGATAGTTGTTGAAAGGGCACTGCTGCTATTTGTAACACTTTGATGAGTAAGGTTTGGTAGCAAGACGAGATAGGGGTTTAATGCCTACGCGGAAGCTCTTGCGACAGGGAGTTGTTGGCGGAGAGCATAATTGAAGAGTACAGATTCAACACAAATGGGTCAGTCCTAGAGTTCTTCTCCCACTATTAAGGCTCAGAGTCAGCTATTGTTTCGATAGACGGCAAGAAAATGTCCCAAATAATCACTCTCATTTTAAGAAAGGAAAGTAATCACCATAAGAAACCATCCGGCTCCAGGACATCATGCAACTGACTTATAGGAATGCTGAGTATTACTTCCTGTTAACTCGTAATAAACGTCGCCGTCTTGCATAATGTCGTTCAGGGATATCGTCCTTGTGAGGTAAACAGTCTCACCAACTGTAGACTCTGGGTTTGTGGTTCTTCCTCCGCGTGAAGAAGTTACTATAACACTAAGCGGTACTGTTTATTCACATTAATGTGTGGTCTTAGGGTCGTAAGGTTAACATGTTGGGTAGGCTGTGGAAGTAGGGTCTGTAGTTGTATGTGTGTCCCCCTGCGAGTCATGATGTGTGTATGTCGGTCATTGATCTTCACCTGCTAACCTTAGGTTAGTCTACCCCGCGATTTCTGACCCCCACGAAGCAGGCCGCCAGCGCTTGATCGGCACCTCATTCCTAACCTAGGTAACCTTCATGAGTCTTTGTGGACGGGTGACTTGGCGTGTAGTGTCAAATATAATTAGAACACACTGTATATCGTTCTATTAAACATAATTGAAGCTGGTTGCTCTATGTGAGGGTTTCTAGAACTTAACATCGTCTGAGGCTATCTTCGTAACTGATGAAGCGAGACCAAAGACTATACTTAGGTAGCTAGGTAAGCGTAGGCGCCACAGAAGAAGGATCAAATCATAGAGGTTTCTTTCCAATCGCAGTAACGACCTTTCTTTGATGGGCCACAACGCCTGCCTCGGTCTCCTTGACGGCTTTGGCAAATAAATCAGTCCATGCTTCGCGTGTCATGGGTGCATTTGGATCCGTAGACTTCGGTGGGAAAAAAACGGCAAGCTCCTCCCAGACCATCAAGTAATCCTCAGTCCAACCTTTGAAATCCTGCTTCCTCTTTTCCTGAACATGCAACCGCACATCCTGCAATCCAAACTTTTCTAGATGCGTGTCCAGGACATCCACCCAATCATACGAGGCGTTTCTGGCCTGCATAGCTGCATTCAATATCTGCACAATCGTAGCACACGCAACTTTGGATATCTGGGGTGAAGGCGACTCCACGATGAATTTGTCGCCTCGTGTTTCCTCCCATTGCAGATATCCACCGGGCTTTAGAAGCTCGGATGCAACGGAGAGCACTGGTGTCAGGTCGCCATTAGGGACTGCACTAACGAAAGCTCGAATGTGGACAACATCGTAGATGCCAACCAGTTCGGCCGGCACCGGCTTCGCGAGAATGTCTAGCTGCTTGATAGACACAGTGGCTGGGAGATAGGCTGGATGCGGAAAGTTGATGGGATTAATGTCAAAGCCGTCCAGCTGAGCTGAAACGTTGTTTTTAGCGAGATAAGAGTGAAGTTCAGTTAGCCATACGCCATTGCCACAAGCAAGGTCAGCGACCTTCAGCGACTGGGAGCTGGCGATGGACTTCTCAACGACCGGCTCTAGAAGGTAGCCGAGAGTATTTTGGAAGAGGAAATGCTGCAGGTGCAGGCGTGCAGAAGTTCTGAAATTTCTAGCCGGAGCGACCCAGAATGTTGACTGGTCATACACCTCGACATCAGCAGATGGAGTCGCCATATTGATCTGTAGCTCTCACGGAACAAGGATTGTGTAAGAGGGTGTTGTATAAGGAGATTAAGGAGATCCGAGGAACTGGTAAGAGCGTTCATTTGAGTTAGAGGGAATTGTGAAACCTAACGGCGAAACCTACATGCTAACTCGATTTCGATAAAACTAGATAGGACAGTATGTATATTATTTAGAGCTATTGGAAAGACGAGGAAATGAGAAGACACCGACACTTTGTCATCACAGCCGACCTGGCCGTCAATTCCACTAAGCAGCGGGCCAGACCTAACCGGGCGCAGCGTCCCCTTGTAGTGCACTTTAGCTACAACTTAAACTACCAACCTTAGCCACTATGTCATACTAGCTTGGTCTTCGGACAAGCTACTGGACTAGTACAGGCCCCTACTTCGAAGATCCGTTGTTTATACAGTGTGGCCGAGCAGATCTCTGCCTGTATTAGTCAGCGCTCTACTGTGTTTCGCATTGTAAAAGGGCTATAGATGTGTGTAGATATGCAGGCTCCTGTTCTATCATCGCCTGTAGCATTTCTCTTTGTCTATTCATTTGGTCTGTTAAGTCGCGCGGCTTCGAAAACGAGGAACCCCTGTATGCAACCAGAAGCCTACAACCCCTCTGTGTATTAGGCCGCGGCAATTAGGGGCTCTTACCTTTAGATAAGACAAAGAACTAAAGATACATTGGTTGCAGGAATGGCGACTGACCGGCAGATCCGGAACGTGGTCATAACAAAGGCATGTTACTCGAACTCCCACGCCCCCTTCCTAGAACAGGCCTCCCTTGGCCCTTAGCGAAATAGCTAAACCTCGGGAGAATCCTCATCTGACATATTGTATGGCTACTAATTCTCGTTGCCCTTATTGCCTCTACATTGTTCTCTCATAATGGCTTGTCCTTATCGAAGAGGTCCCTTCCTGTATTTAAGCCTGATATTTATGACCAATCCATCTGAACCTAGCTTCGGTGGGCTCGGGTATATCTTGCGTTGATAATTAAAGTCTCTAGAAAGCATTGAAGACATTCGAGTTCCCTTTAGAACTTGAAAGGGCAGTGTTGTTGGATGTTCGGCTATTT